AGGAAGGAAGGAAGGAAGGAAGGAAGGAAGGAAGGAAGGAAGGAAGGAAGGAAGAGAAAACAAATAAAAGGAGGGGAGGAGGAAGGAAATCTGCAGAGATCTTGTGGCACAAACATGAGATTCCTTCCTTACAAACACTTTTGTAGTTGTTTGTACTATTGTTTTCTGTATTATCATTTATAGCATCAACTGAAATTACGCCAGAGAGCATGGCTTTCATGTTAAAGGTGCTGCCAAACAAAACACATTTATTTACTTATTCTTAGGTTTACATCCAGGCCCAACTGACCCAGCTAGTTTCCACGGCTGAGGACGGGGGTGAACCTGGGTCTCCACAGTGCCACCTTAACCACTAACCCACACTGCCTCCATTTTTTCATTGTGCCCACAACCCAGGCCAGAAATACATTTGTGAGGATGCTCAGACACCTGCTCCCACTTCCAAAACCAAGGCTTCATGGAGGAATAACTAATTGGTGAAAAGGCTTTTGAGCCTGGGCAGAGTGCCTTTCCCACCCCTGAAATGCATACTATAAGGACATGCTTTCGAAGGAGAAGCTTCACAAACTCTCCTCCCCCTCAAACTGGCAGCCCGTGACCTCTCAGGCTTCCCAAAACCCCAACCGGTAAGAAAGGAGGCTATTTCCCCATCCTCCATCAAACTCAGGACCCCCAGAAGGCTTGAAGGTGGTGCCAGAGCAGGACTGGGCAAGAAAAGATAGCCGTGGGGCTTTCTGGATTAATGGGTGCTTGGTGCCACCTTGCTCCTCCTCGATTATGTTACTGTTGTGGTTACCCAATTCTACCACCCAGGGTCATAGCTAACGTTGGCTGGTTTTCTTCGTCATGACCTGACGCCTGCTCCCATCCTCATCCTCCTCACGTCCCCAGCAAGGGACGAAAGCAGCTTCTTTGCAGCCGGCAGCGAAGGGCAGCAGAGGAAGGCCTGTCTGGGTCGGCCCAGGCCCCCACGAGCTGGATGCCAGGAGCAAGCAAGGGCTATTTCCATTTCCTTATATGGCCTTGCCACAGATCCCCACTTTCTCAAGGAAAAAGCCACCGAGCAGAACCAAAGGGGCCAGCGAACTGCAAAGGCGTGTGGTTTGCTGATGGTTGTTTTGAAACTAAACGTATCCCGGCATCCTTGCAGAGAAGAGGGAGCCAGGAATGCGAGCGGTGGGCACTGGAGGAAAGGAGGGGGCACAACCAAGCCGTGGGAATGAGGAAATTTAACAGGAAGGGAGGAGAGGAAAACAGGGAGGGGGGAATAAACGGGGGGGTAGGAAGGTAAGGGAGGGAGGAGGAAGGAAACAGGGAGGGAAGGAAAATAAGACAGGGAAAAAGAGGAGAAAGAGAGGAAGGGAGGGAGGAAGGGAGGGTCAGGCTACCATGTAAAGGCAATGGGCACCAAAAATAAAAGAAGTTGGCAGAAATCTTGTGAGACTGCCAAATCTCTCTCCCAAGAGTGCTGGAATCACCCCTGCAGAGATTATGGCTATTCCCAACCACGTTCTTTAAACCCAGGTGCCTCCGTATCGCTCTTGTGCCAAAGAGAGAAAGAGCGAGGCACCCCACCATACCTGCAAGACAGGTGCACTCGTAGGCCACGTTTCCGGTCTGCTGGCAGGTGCCCCCATTCTGGCAAGGCGAGGGGTTGCAGGGCACGTAGAGGTGTTCGCAGTTGGGGCCCGTGTAGGCCTGCCTGCAGTGGCACTGATAGGAGCCAATCTCGTTGATGCAGGTCCCGCCGTTCTTGCAGACGGGGGGCGTCCGGCTGCACTCGTTGAAGTCCTCCTTGCAAGTGGCCCCGTGGAAGCCCTGCGGACACCTGCACACGTAGCTGGATTCAAATGGCACGCACTGCCCGCCGTTGGCACAAGGGTTGGAGGCACAGGGGTCAGCCTGCTGACACGTCTTCCCTGGAGGCCAAAGAGAGGGACGTCCCGCCTCAGCCAAAATTCAACAGCAACAAAGAACCCAGAAATGTCACAAACACGGGCTGACAGACTTCCATTTTCCAGTCCTAATCCTTCTAATTTTTTTAAAAAGTTGCCAACACCTTTATTCCAATTTGCACTGGGTTCTTTAAAAACACACATTTTTGCTGCCTGCTTTTCTTTCTACTGCTTTTGGGTTTGGTACACGTGAACAACACAGGATACCTCGATCCAAGGATTAAAAACTATGAAAGCAGACAGTGACTGTCTGAGTGCTGCAGACCTGCTCTAAGGAGCTGCATCTAACCCCATCCTTCTGTTCTCCTTCCACCATGATGGGCAGAGCCATCTAAATCAGTGTTTCTCAACCTTGGCAACTTTAAGATGTGTGGACTTCAACTCCCAGAATTCCCCAGCCAGCCACGAGTAGACTTCATGCTGACTGGGGAATTCTGGGAGTTGAAGTCCACGCATCTTAAACTTGCCAAGGTTGAGAAACACTGATCTAAACAGTCAAGAGTACAAAACACAAGCCTCTTTTGCAGAGGGAAACCTTTGAGAAATGGAAAGAGAGGTTTTGGCACCACCCTAGCTCCATCTGTCCCTGGAGCTTTGGAAAGACAGAAGAACCAAGCCTCTTCCTTGCAGTGCTGGGGTCCGGTGGTCCCAACAAGGGCGGATCAAGCACGCGAGGCCAGGTTCGGTTCTGCAGATGAGAGTCGTGGTTCCACCAAGTATGGAGGAGCAGACATCTCTAAGGGTACCCTGTGGGGTTTGGGAACAAGTGTGCAAGTTGCACCCCAGCACACAAGTTGCTATCTCACCTGACCAGCCTGGAGGGCAGCGGCATTTGTACTCAGTCAACGTGACAAGGTCACAGCTCCCTCCATTGCGACAGGGGCCGCTCAGGCAGGCGTTCTCCACGGGTGTCAGGCACAGCTTATCGGTGAAGCCCAGGTGGCATGAACAGGTGTAATCGGCGGTGTTACCGTCCACCACAGGGCGACAGGTGCCGGCATTCTTGCAGGGGGAGCTGAGGCACAGGTTTGGGAACTGGCACCGATGTCCAACGAAGTCATTGGGGCATCTAAAAGGAGGAGGAGGAGGAAGAAGGATCAGCAACAGACATGCAGGAACAATCAACAGCTGCTCAGCTTTCCTTCAGCAGCTTCTCGCACGACGGTTCTGCAGGCCACCTGACCTTCTCCCCTCCTGCTGTTGGCAGAGGGAGGACGAGACGGAGCTGACTGGGAGACCATGAAGGAGCAGGATTCGAACAGGCAACAGCCTCAACCACACTGCTGCAGACACGATGTCTCTGGCTGATCTGACAGCCCTACGAGAGCTTTTCTTCATATGATTTTTGTTTAAAGGACTAAAAACGGTACAAATTTTGAAACAGAAAAGTAAGTAATAGTAAGTGGGGAAAAAGTACAAAGAAAGAAAGAGAGAAGAGGAAGAAAGAAAAGAAAAAACAGAAAAGAAAAAGTTTTAAAGCAGCAGCTTCCGGTCCTCTTAACAGCAGTTCCAAGTATGTTTATATTTTACTCTCTTTTTCTAAGGTTACAACATAATTTCTTTCTTTCCAGAGTCTACCCTTTATTAGAAATCAATAACCAAACCATAAATTACAAGTTCATTTTCTTTTTTTCAGCAAAAAAATCCATAAGGGGTTTCCAGTCACTAATAAATGCAGATACTGTTCTTTCTCCAATCAAACAAGTCGATTTTGCCATCTCTGCTAATTCACCAACCATTCCTCCACGGTGGGTATTTCAGAGTCTTTCCATTTTTGTGTGCATAATGATCTGGCAGCCGTTATCATATATAAAAACAATCTTCCCTCTTTTCTAATTGCCTATCCATTAGTCCCAACAAGTTCTGGTTTTCATTGAATATTAATCTTTAAATTTCTTTGTAACACTGTATGTATTTGAACCCAAAATTTCCTGGCTTTTTTGCAAGTCCACCAGGCATGATAAGCTGACCCTTCATTTTCCACATTTCCAACATGAATTTGAAGTACCTTTACACATTCCAGATAATTTTTCTAGCAAGAGGGTTTTTAAAGAATATTTTTTATCCCTCTTGCTCTTATCGTTGCACAATAAATGAGGGACACCAATGGAAAATAAGGGAAGGATGTTCACCGATTCTCCTAAATACCACCTTCTCTCACCTGTGCCACTCACCTACCCGCTTGTCCCAAAAAAAGCCTCTCCTGCCGTTACACTTTCAAACATCTCTTTTGTGGAGTGATGTTTGAAAATCCAACCTTTAAATTCTGAGATTCTGGGGATGATGGGAGTCAATACTCTTAAATGGGAAACAGTTTGCAGACAGGCTATTCTGCAGCCATTGGGGCTCAAGATTTCTCCTTATTTACCCCCAGTGAGGTGCCTCCCCCTCCATCAATTGTCCCAGGCTCCCTGAAACACTGCCAGAGCTGCGGCCATGAGTTCCACCAGCTAATCTGAGCATGCAGGCTTCCTGAATTCAAGGTGAACCTTTTGCAGTCCATGAGTCCTGAACGTTGGTGTGAAAAGACAGACCAAGGAAGTTGTACGTGCTCCTCCTGCAGAACCAATCCCCTGGTTTCAGGACAATTTTCACTTCTGGCCAAAAAGATTTGCACTAACAAATCACAACTGACTTGGTAGTGCACCGGACCTGCCTTTCCCTGCACCGCTGCCTGCATCGCCTCAACATCTCCAAACCATCGAGTGCCTGGATCTTAAAAAGGCTCCAGTCAGCAGACATTCCACAGAGATGGTCGCTTACAAGAGACAAATTCATCTGCCCAAGGACGAAATACTTTATCGTCTTTTGTGATTTCTTAACAGCCTTCTCCTGGCTGCTGGAATCTTGGGAACCGTACTCCCAACACGGTGGAATGGTGCCAAATTTGAACACCCTGGGCCTGCTGGAAAATGTGTATTATCACGATGCATCAGGTTAAAAAGATGGCTATTGGGGCTCCGGTGGGATGCAGGAGCAGAGGAAACAAGGCAAACTGCAATTAACGCATCTAGGAACGCCTGATTGGGGAGGCTGCAAACCGCAAAGCCCTACTTGCATTTTTTTTCTCGCCAACACGCCTTTTGCCTTTCAAGGGACTAATTTATATAGTTCTATACGACTGAGAATCCCTCAAATGCATAAGAATGGCCTGTTTATTCGGGGGGCCGCTGCATTCGGCTCAGTCAACCACAACTTCTAATTGGCAATGCATTTCAGTGACCAAGCCCAAAAACTCTGCAAAAGTTTGGGAAGCTTTGGGAAGATCTGCAGTTTGCCTACGCGGTCCAGAGGGGCTATCCGTCAGAGTGGGGTGCGTGTGTGCAAAAAAATCTCAAGGTGGTGTTTTGCAATTGAAGCTCTCCCCTTTTTTTTAACAGGCATCACAACGTATGAAAAAAAGCTGTGGGGCTTTGGTTGCAGAGTCACAGCACCATTTTATTATTATTTATTTAAAAGATTCACATGGTCGCCCATCTTAAGAACACAACCCTGGGTGTCTCGTAACAACAATAAAAACCACAGGACAATAAAAACAAAAACCTCGACTTTTTCTGACAACCCCGCCTCCCCCCGAGGATCTAGTCTCTTCTACCAAAGTAGAAGAAACTGCTCTCTTCTCTGGAAAGATGATTTAGGAACCCTACCACTACTACCATTCATTTCTACCAAGCTTGAAATCCTCATAGTTATCATCATGTTATTAGGAGAACTAATAAACTGGGCCTGCTTCCCTTTCCCCCCTAAAGTTCAAAACCCAGCGGGTCCTTCGGCATGTGCTGGCCGGTCCAAAGCCACATTCTTGCCCCTCGCAAGCCTGATTCTCCAAGACGACAGAGTCGCCCTTTCCTGAAGCAAGAAGCTTCTTCCCTCATCAAGAGCCCAGCCAAAAGCCCCGCCGCCCAGAGTGGCATCTCAGCGGGAGGGGGCTTTCATTTGTATTTCCCTTCCTTTTCTTTCCCAGAAAGATAGCCTTGCAACGGCCATCCACCGGTCCGGGCCATCTGTTGCACATCGCCAAAAGGCGCCGGAGCCGACCGGCTCATCCAACAGCCCCCCAAACCCCGGCAGCGTCTCCATTTGGCACGGAAACGACCGGTTCGAAGAGGACGTCGGCGTGTGAAAGCTGCTAACGCAACGGAGCTGAGCTCAAAAGCTGAAAAGAGGAAGGGCCATCGTGTGTTGGAGGAGCCTAAGGGGGGGGCACCCTCTGGGCTGGTTGAGCCCCCCCGCCCCCAGAGGCACTGTCTGGGATCTCTGCCGTGATACGGAGGAGCCCCAAACTCCCTCTGTTTTGATGCTGGAAACGCGCTCTCCTCGCTGGCTGTTTCATTCTCCCCGTATCTCACTCCGTCATCATCTTGGAAAGCCTCCATGCCACGGATTTGGCATTCTGGAAAGAGAGTTTCTGTGTGTGTGTGTGTGAGTGCGCTTGTGTCTTGGCACCGGCTTCTCTCTCTTCCCTCCCCCAGATTTTTCCCTTTTTTTGGTCCACAAGTGAGGAAGCAAAAACAAAGAACCCTGAAGCAAGCTCAGCATTCGAAAGGGAAGATGGTCAGTGCCAGCAGCACACTTGGTCAAGCTGGGAGCGGCATCGTACAGACCTGATTCCGTATTTATGCTTCGCATCCACTTTCAGCGTGCAGAGCTGCCCTGGGCTGCATGCAGCCTCCTGCACCCAAGGGTCCCCTTGCACCTGAATCACAACGCCTGTGCTTCTTGGGGCACCAAATGGCACGTGCTCTGCAAAAGTTTCTACAAGTGCTGGCCGGCGTATTTTTAATAGAACCTGCCCCTAATTTGCAATTTGCGCAATTTCTACCAAATGATTCCCTTTTTCCTTCTCCTTACATCGCCGCCTTGTGATCATCCATCTGATCCAGAAGTTTCCTCCTCAAAGTTCCTTCTTTTTCCACCTGCTGCTAAAAGTCACTTAGCAGTTTCGGGTGATAATGCAAAGGGAGCAGAATGTTCTGCAGAGAGATTTTTTTTAGCACAGAATTAATTAAGGAGAACTCCGAGGTTTTTGTTTGTTCTGGGTCCCGGAGTGGGAGGGGCACCTTGGCCAACTTTCCCCCATCGCCATTGGAAAGGGCTTGCGGGGAGCCCCCAAATGCGCCTGGAAGGTCACAGCCACAGCCCACCCAAGGGGCCTCGATACAAAAACTTTTACAAAAAGGCTGCCTTTAATTAGGTAGCTTTGCAACTTCGCATCCACTGAGCTGAAGCCCTTTCGCTCAATGGAGATGCGGCATCCTCTGCTCCCCCCGCACCCCCAGAATGGAGCTGCTTTTCCTCTCTGATCCCCCAATTTCGTCTCCACGAAGCCTGGAGACTGGCTCTGCTCTTCGGCTGAACCCGACGGGATCGCCAAAGGCTCCCCGGGGAGGGATGTGTGCCCAGAGTCTGCCAGGTGCCCCAGGGAGAAGGCATCCTTCTGTGCCCTTCCAAAAAAGTCAGCCACAGCAGAAATCAAATACTAAATGGTAACCGGGCGGGAGGGGGATGAAGGGGCAACGCTGTGGTTGGCAGATTGGCAGACGCACAAAGTTTCAAATGCCACCCTTAAAAGAAGGGGGAAGGGGAAGGGGAAGGGAAGAGAAGATGTCTTTTTCCCCCTTTCTCTCTCTCTCTTTCTAGCATCCACTTCCAACCCTCTTGCTGGAAGCCCACGTGAGAATCCGCTGAAGTTTGAGGACGCTTTGAGTTAATGAGATGGGCAGGATCCAGACCAAATTAAAAGAAAACGGGCATAGCAGCAGCAGCACCCGTGGCATCTGCTGGGAGCAGGTGTGCATTTTAATGAGGGGGTAGCAGCTGCTACAGCGCCCCCCCCCCCCCCGGCCCAAGACACGGCTGTGGCAGGCCAGCACCGAGCAGGCACGGAGGGGAGTCGCGCTGCTGGGGAACTCAGCCGGCTGCTCGGGCCGTGCAACAGGCCGAGGGTCCCCCCTCCGCAAAGCAGGCCCAGATCAGCAGCGGAGCACCCCCAGCCAGAGAAGTGGCTGCAACGCGCCGTTTTCTTCCCTCCCCTCCAGCTGTGCTGCAGCTCCTGGCTGGTTCTCAGAGAGCGCAGCCAAAGCCTCATGGCTCCGTCCCCCAGGTGCCGCGGAGCCAGAGAGAGATTCCCAGGCGAGAAAGAGGAGAGAGAGAAGCCTATCCAGGTGCGTTTCTCCGCCTCAGCAGGTTCCCCCCGGGCAAGCGGCAGACTGGGCACCAGAGTCCCCGGAACGTGCCGGGGGCTGCCCCCGATGCACGGCTGGAAGAACGTTTGCTGCTGGTGCCCTGACACAGGGACGCGCTTCCCAGCTCTGGTGGAGCGTGGCACCTGCCGGGAGTTTGGGAACTGCCTGGGCACAGAAAGCTGCCCATCGCTCTCTGAGCCGCCGGCCGAGAACGCCGTG